GTAAAGATTTCCATGTGATTTTAGGCAATGGTGTGCTGACTAGTTCTCATTCCTCATCTGTAGATTGAAATAACAGTGAATGACTCTTATTTTTTTTTTAAGTTAACAGTGAATGAGTTTTACTTATTTTGACATATATCCAGGTTACACTTGATTAAAAAAATCTAATATCTGTTATTTTAAAAAACTTTACATTTTGAAAATAATTCACAGCTATTGTTATTTGTCCACTATCCACTACCCCCATACTCTGAATTATTTTCAAGTAATTGTTTTCATAATTTCTTTGTTGAAGAAATTGTTATTTCTTTGTTTCTCACAAACTATATTATTTTTTTCCTCAAAAATATTTTTCTTTAGTTAACTAAAACTTACATTCAGTAAAATGCACAGGTCTTAAGGGCACAGTTTGATGAGGTTTGCAAATATGGCATCTGTGTGACCAACAACCTAATTAGGGCATTGTGCCAATGGTGGCCACTAGCCACATACATGCCTTTGGGAAATTGAAATATGACTGCCCCAAATGATAAGTGTTGTAAGTTTGAAACACACAAGATTTCAAATAGTGCATGAAAAACTTTCTCATTAACAATTTTTATGCTGATTAAATATTTTTAAAATATTGGGGTTATATTTGGTTAAGTAAAATATGCTACAAAGATTATTTTTTTTAATACCACTAGATCAAGATTTTAAATTTCTTATGATTCAGATAATATTTATATCTGACAATAAGGTATTTTCATCACACTATAAAGTTCTCTTGGGCCCTATCCAGTAAATTCCAGAGAAAACAACTCATCAAAGATTTGTCTGCTTTTAACGTGATAATGAAGCGATATAATTATATACACTGGTGGGTTTGGTCTGGTTTCTTTCAACATAATGGGTTTGAGATTCATTTCTACCCTATGTATTTATAGTTTATTTTTTTGTCTACAAACTAGATATTGTTGATTGCATTTCCATATGTCATTTAGTATGTTCTCTTGCCCTGTCTGGTCTCATGAAATGAAACTTTTTATCTTATTATTTCATCGTATAGACAATGTGGATCTATGAATCTGTGTTACTTTTTAGCTATGAACCTTGAAAGAAGGCAGCAGAAGTTACATGTTGCACTAATAGCTAGAGACACACACTATTTTGGCCGATGATGTAGATAAGTTAAACTATTGAGAGGGTAGTAAAAGATTCTGGTTGAAAAAAACCCAGTACTTTGCTAAGAGTTTTAGGTATTTTTTTCCTTAATTATGTAAGTTTTTCCTTCCCCTACTAGGCCTATATGCAAAGTCAGATCTGACTTGAATAAATGTGTTGGCCTGCTAGAATATGCCGTTTGAAGTGCAAGGTTGGCAGTTCAAGTTCTCCAGCTGCTGCTCGGAAACCCTATCCAGGGTCGCTGTGGGTCAGAACCAACTCGATGGCACTTAACAACAGCAACAACTAGAGTATACCAATTCCGTGATTTTAAAATTTCAAAATAAGCATCTTTCATTTGGATTAAAATTGGTTATTAGTATTAGTTATTATAGCAACACTATGCACAACAGAGCCAACCATTGCCTAGTCCTGTGCCAACGTCAAATCGTTGCTGTGCTTGAGCCCACTGCTTCTGACACTCTGTCTCGTTAGGGTGCTTCCTCTTTCTCTCCAATCCTCCACTCTACCAATCATGATCTCTTTTCCAGGGACTGGTCCCCCCTGATAATATGTCCAAAGTATCAGACAGGAATCTAGCCATCCTGACTTCCAAGTACGATTCTGGTTGGACTTCTTCCAGCACAGATCTATTTGTTCTTTTTGAAGTCTGTGCTGTTAGTGTTCTCCAACACCATAATTCAAATAGATCAGTTCTTCTATGATCCTCCTTATTCACTGTCCAACTTTTGTATACATATGTTATTCAAAATGCCATGGCTTGGGTCAGGCACACCTTAGTCCTCAAGCTGACATCTTTGTTCTTCAACACTTGAAAAAGGTCTTGTGCAGCTGATTTGCCTAATGCAATACATCATTTCATTTCTTGACTGCTGCTTCTATGAGTGTTGATGGTTAATTTGAGGAAAGTTTAAGTCTTTGACAACTTCAATCTTTTCTCCATTTATCTGGATGTTGTTTATTGGTCCATTGGTGAGGATTTTTATTTTCTTAACATTGAGGAGCAACCTATACCGAAGGCGGTGCTCTTTGATCTTCATCGGTAAACACTTAAGACCTCTTCACTTTCAGCAAGCAAGGTTGTACCATCTGCTTATCACAGGTTATTAATGAGTCTTCCTCCAATCCTGATGCCATGTTTTTCTTCATATAATCCAGCTTCTTGGATTATTTGTTCACCATACAGGTTGAATAAGTGTGTTGAAAGAATACAACCCTATCCCATACCTTTCTTAATTTTAAACCAATTGGTGTTCCCTGGTACTGTTCGAACACACAACTGCCTCTTGGTCTATGTACAGGTTCCTCTTGAGCACAACTAAGTGTTCCAGAATACTCATTCTTTGTAATGTTTGTCCATAGCTTATCATGATCCATAACAATGGAAAGCCTTTGCATACTCAATAAAGCACAGGTAAAACATCTTTCTGGTATTTTCTGCTTCAGCCAAGATCCATCTGATATCAGCAATGATATCCATTATTTCATGTTCTCTTCTGAATCCAGCTTGAACCTCTGGTAGTTCTTTGTCAATGCATGGTTGCAGCCGTTTTTGTATTATCTGTAGCCAAATTTTACTTACATGTGGTTTTAATAATATTGTCCGATGATTACTACATTCCATTGAGTCACCTCTCTTTGGAATGGGCACAGATATGGATCTCTTCCAGTCAGCTGGCCAGGTAGTTGTCTTCCAAATTTCTTGGTATAGATGAGTGAGTGCCGCAGTGTCACATCAGTTTATTGAAAGATTTCTATTTGTATTCCATCATTTCCTGGTGCCTTGTTCTTTGCCAATGCCTTCAATGCACCTTGGATTTCTTCCTTCAGGATCATTGACTCTTGGCCATATACTGCGTCTTTGAAGTGGTTGAACATCAATTATTTCTTTTTGTGCAGTGACTTTGTGTTTTCCTTCCATCATCTTTTGATGCTTTGTGCATCATTCAGTATTTCGCTTATAGAATCCTTCAGAATTGTAAGGCAAGGCTTAAATTTTTTCTTCATTTCCTTCAGCTTGGAAAATGCTGAGCCTGTTCTTCCTTTTTGGTTTTCTAAGTCAAGGTCCTTGTACATTTCGTTATAAAAATTAACTTTGTCTTCTTGAGCTGCCCATTGAACTTTTCTGTTTAACTCTCGGACCTCCTCATTTCTTCTATTTGCTTTAGCATCTCTGTGCTGGGGAGCAAGCTTCAGAGTCTCTTCTGACATCCATTTTGACCTTTTTCTTCTTTCTTGTTTTCTTAATGACTTTTTGCTTCCTTCCTGTGTGGTGTTCTTGATGTCATCCCACAGTTCTTCTGGTCTCTGATCTTTAGTGTCTAATATATCTAATCTGTTCTTTAGATGATTTCTAAATTCAGGTGGGATACATTCACAGTCATGAATTGGCCCTCATGGGCTTGGTTTGAATTTTCTTCAGCTTCTGTCTGAACTTGCATATAAGTAATTGATGGTCTATTCCAAAGTCTTCTTCTATCCTTGAATTGGCTGATGATATAGAGGTTTTTCATTGTCTCATTCCCCATTCCACAGATGTGGTTGATTTGATTTCTGTGTATTCCATCTGGTAAGGTCCTTGTGTATGGTTGTCTTTTATGTTAATTAAAAAAAGGCATTTGCAATGAAGAAGTCTTTGGTCTTGTGAAATTCTGTCATGTGATCTCCAGTATTATTTCTACAACAAGGCCATATTTCCAACTACTGATCCTTCCTCTTTGTTTACAACCTTTGCAATCCAATACAACCTTTGTATTCCAATACATTTTGATTGCATGTTTGATCAATTTCAGATTGAACAAGTTGGTAGTTTTCTTCAGTTTCATCATCACTGACTTATTGGTTGGTGTGTAAATTTGAATAATAGTGGTATTAATTGGTCTTCATTGTAGGCATATAGATATTATCCTATTACAGACAGCATTGTACTTGTGGACAGATTTTGATGATTTATGCGATTCCATTGCTTTTCAATCTGTCATTCTTCCATTCCGTTTTTGACAATTTCCAATATTCCTAGATTCATGCTTCACACATTCCATGTTCTAATTATTGATGGGTATTTACAGCTGTTTGTCTTCATTTTGAGTTGTGCCCCATAAGCAAATGAAGGTCTAGAAGCGTTTACTCCATTTGCATCATCACGGTCAAACTCTACTTTGAGGAAGCAGTTCTTCCCCCTTCACATTTTGAGTGCTTTCCAACCTGAAAGGCTCATGCCCTGACCCTGTATGTGACAGTATTCGGTGCTCTTCATCAAGTTCCAGTGTTCAGTATCCTGGTACTGATAGTGTACCACTTCTGCTCATAAGGTTTCCAGTGACAAAATGTACCAGAGTAGTCTGTCTGTCTCTCCTTCCTTGTCTGTCTAGGTCTCGAAGCTCCTCTGAAACCTGTCTACTGTGGATGACCCTGGTGATATTTAACATATTCGTGACATAGCTTCCAGAATCACAGCAATACACAGCCACCACAGTACAACAAACTTGACAGATGAGTTGTGGGTCATGTCACTTGCTTATATGGAAACTCTGCCAGAGCAAAAGAAGTAAAACATAATGTCAAACAAAAGATTTGGAGGAATCCTTTCCTCATGTAATTATATTGCAGAAAGGAAAACAAAATAACGTGTTTTTATGGTTATATTTTTCTTTAGAAAATACTCTACACTTCTTATGGCGAGAAATTGTTACATCCGAGGGCTTGAAACTCTACTATAATCCATATACAGGCTGGTAAGGCAGATTTTTATTTATGTGTTTGATTTTCAAAAGAAATGTGTGATTTTTTTTTTTTTTTTTTTTGCTTTTGCAGTACTTCAAGAAAGAATAATTAACCTTATTAGAAATTTTTATAATTAGAATAAATAAAATAAATATCACTTGTCATTTTTCAGTTGATGAATGCAGAATAATAATTGGTGTTTAATTATCAATATTTAAATTGAGATTATAATTCTGGGTAAACATGTCACTTTGTTTTTACAGGCCATTTTTCACTAAAATTGCCAGTTATTATTCTGAGTTTTAGGTATCATTAAAAACAATAAATGGTTACTTATTACCCTTCATTATTCCTGAGACTCATAAAGGTCACAGAAAGAGGCATACCTGCTCCTTTTTAGTATAGAACAGGAAAAATGGTGGCTATTTACCAATGCTGTTGTTAAGTGCCCTGCACAGTGACCCTTGTAGTTCTCTGTCCAGTACATACCATACGGAGCCACCGTGCTCCTCGACATTTATGAATGACACTCTTGTTTTTGCAGACTTAGTTGTTAGCTATGGCCTTTATTTTATTATCACAAATCTTACCTTCATGACATATGGGCTTGAATGATATGACATTAAAATATGATTTATAATTATAAAACAGACTTTTTTTTAGTGTTTCTTCAAGTTCTTTCTAAAAACAATGATTATGGATATTACCATACTTCTTACACAAATAACAAACATAATACCTTTTTTTGCCAATGACATAGCTCCCTCTCTTGTTATTTTCCTAAGTGTGCTATGTGCATTATGTGTAGGCACGATATTTACATGGGCAGATTGCTTGTGGAAAACTAGGGTAGTATACTGTTAAATTTTATTTCTGTGGTGTGTTTTTCTTGTCTTCCTTTAGTCTTATCCGTGAGTACCCAAGTGCCGGGCCGCAGTTGCTTGGTGGAATCTTAGCAGATGAGATGGGTCTTGGAAAGACAGTGGAGGTTTTGGCTCTGATCCTGACTCATACAAGACAAGATGTCAAACAAGATACTCTCACTCTTCCTGAGGTAGGAGGAGGACTCTAGGATTTGGGAAACGGAGGGTCATGTGTTCTCACACAGCATCCATTGTATGTAGAACATTTGCTGGGCTCTGAAGTGGTTTTTTACCACTGTTGATTTGTATTACTTGTTAGTTAGCTTCCAGCGGGCACAGGATGTGGGTTTATGTGACCTGGCAGCCCTGGCAGCATTTTTTTTTTAAGTGCGTTTTGTCTAACTAGTACTAAATATGCGCTCACTTACCAGGCATCCTGCTAGTTAACAGAGAATTTCTTAAGAAAATACTGTTGCTTCCAAAACGTTTTGTCACTTATTAAAAACCAAACCAAACTTGTTGCCATCAAGTCAATTCCAACTCATGGCAACCCCCTGTATTACAGAGTAAAACTTCTTTCTAGGGTTTTCTTGGCTGTAATTCTAAAGGAGGCAGCTCACTAGCAAACCATTTGCGCCCCCCAGTGGTCTCTCTGTCACTATACGTCTCCATCTGATTATCACTAAATATTTTTTATGGCTTTTCCAAAATTGCCACAAATCTCAGTTATCTTAAATCTTAGAGCCCAGTAGTTAGCTTTGATGAAAAATGTGTGACTGGTAATTAGATTGCTAGATGAAAAAAATCTGAGTCCTTCCCCTAAAATATCTAGTTATGTTTAAAAATAGGAATTTCTGAATTTACCCAAAAAAGCCTCTACTGTGACAAATGCAGCACATAGTTCATTGTTTCCATTAAGGAAGTCTGAGATCACTTGAAATCTGGTCAAACCAATGTTACTCCCTGAGAGTCTTAACTTTAATTACCTCTAAGGCTCACAACTTCAGGATTATGGGATCTTTTCCTAAGGTCGAGTTTACAAAATTAGTTTATCAAAATTAGTAGGCAGTAGAAAAAAATCTGTTGCCTTTGAAGAAAAATTACTTGGAGTATAATTTTAACTATCAATTTCTTTTAGGGATTTTTTTTTCATCACTAGACATTTTAATTCTTAATTATTATTTCCAGCATTATTTTCAATTTAATGGGTTAATACTAGATTTAAATAAGTTATAAAAACAATTTGGGAGGTTCCACACTTAAGATTTAAAAACTTTAAGATAATATGCACAGTTTTCACAAGTGATGGTGGGCTGTAAGGTCTAATATATAAAAGTAATCTTTGTATATATACGAGTAGCATATTAAACTCTATTAGTTTTTTTGTTGTTGTTTTGGTTTGGTTTTTTTAGAATGTTTTGCATCTCCTTAATAGAAAGTGTTTTAATGGTTTTAAGTAGTTCAAAATGTAAACAAAGCATTGTGTGACTACTGAATGTTGTTTGTATCAGGGAAAAGTGGTGAATTATTTTATTCCATCACCTTATTCTGGAGGAAAAGTGAAAAACTCAAAAACCCGGAATACAGAATTTGAGCCAAAAGTCAAAGTTCATTGTCCCCGTAAGTATGTCATCTCTTAACTACAATGCTTGTTTATACTGATCTTTGTTACGGTGCTTTGCAGCCCTCATGTCTTGTGATTGCTATGAATAAATGCTTTACAGAGTTACACTGTGTATCATTTGTAAGTCTTATAATCTTAACAAAAATAGAGATTTATTCTTATGCTTGATTTGGTTCATGTAACTCTTGTTCTATCTGTTATACTTGATTTTTCTTTTCAATTGTGGTTTAGTCTAGGCTTTGTTTAGTTTCTAGTTACTGTTGTTAGGTGCCGTGGAGTCTGCTCAGACTCTTAGCGACCCTGTAACCTTTTGTACAGAAGAACAAAAGCTGGTACTGCCATCCTGCACCATCTTCACTGTTGTTATGTTTGAGTCTGTTGTTACAGCCACTGTGTCAGTCCGTCTTGTTGAGAGTCTTCCTCCTTGCGCGTGACCCTCTACGTTACCAAGCACAATGTACTTCTCTAGTTTAGAGTTTCCAAATGTTATTGAAATGAATGTCCTTCCTAGTAGCATAGTGTGTACTTAGATAATTTTGAGGTTTGGGGTTTTTGTTTGTTTCTTTTTCCTTTTGAATGATAACTGGCTTGTAAGATTAGCATATTAGCGTGAATAACATGCTAACAACTTATCCTTAATTTATTTCCTGTTCAAATAGTTTATGTCCTAATGTCATGTGATAATTTTTTATTACATAGTCTTCAAAATACTGCTGAACAGAAAACCTACCGACATTAAACCTTTTGATTTATTTCTTTCTTAGCTCAAACCTCAAACCATACTGGATTATGATTAGCTAATGCTCTCTTTTCTTTCTAATTGTTTTGACTGATTTGGCATATTCTTTCCATTTAGCCACGCGTGTGATGATATTGACAGCTGTGAAAGAAATGAATGGGAAGAAAGGAGTGTCCATTCTTTCCATCTATAAGTATGTCAGTTCTATATACCAGTACGATGTTCAACGGAATAGGAGTCTACTAAAACGGATGCTGAAATGTTTAATTTTCGAAGGTCTTGTGAAACAGATCAAAGGCCATGGTTTTTCTGGGACTTTTACATTGGGGAAGAATTACAAGGAAGAAAATATATGTGATAAAACAAAAAAACAGGTAATGGCACTTTTGAAATACCTAGATGTGATGCTTTACAGAGTAACTTGGCAGACCTCCTAGGCACTGAAGTTCTTAACATCTCAAGTTCAAAAGCAAAGTAAACTAACTCATTGGTACAGGCTCTTAGGCGCTTCTGACTTGGGTTTGCTATTTTCTGCACATAGCAAGTAGAGAGTAGAGACATTATTTTGGTTACCGATAACCAAAATAATGCCTCTACTAGAGTTGTAGGATAAGCACTGGACTGGTAACCACAAGGCTGGTAGTTTAAGTCCATCAGCTGCTTTTAGAAACCCTACACAGTCAGAACTGACTCAACAGCACACAACAACAATATAATGCACAGAGAAATATGTAGCATACACTCAATAAATCCTTACTGAATGCAGTCTAAATGACTTCTTTAAGCATAACAAAATTTAAATGAGCCCCCCTATCCTAATCATGCCATTTTGTGCAGTTTAAAAGTTTGCCCCAGACTTTAAGATAATTACAAATATCTTAAATTTGCCTAGCACTTTATATACAATTTGAATCTTTTTATGTAATTCTGATTTTTCCCTGCATCCTCATAAAACTTATATTTTGTTATAAAATTGCTTCTGTTGGGACAATAATTTCAGTTTGCTTTTATGACAATAGTTACAGTATTTTCAATCCTGAGTTACAGAAAGACTGACAACAACTCAGACTGTGGAAACTTTGTCAGATCCAGTGCCGGGAAATGACCGTGGTGACGCAAATGGAGTCAAGCCCTCAGTAAAGCCTTAATTTTCTGATGGGCACAACTCAACATGAAGAGAAACAGCTATAAACATCCATTGAAAATCGGAACATGGAATGTACAAAGTACGAGTCTAGGAAAATTGGAAATTGTCAGAAATGAAATGGAACACAAACTTTGAATACTTTAGGCATTAGTGAGCTGAAGTGGACTGATAGTGGCCATTTTGAATCTGACAACCACATGGTTTCCTATGCCGGGAATGAAAAAATTGAAGAGGAATGGTGTTGCATTCATTGTCAAAAAGAACATATCCAGATCAGCCATGAGGTACAATGCTATAAGTGATAGGATAATATCCATGCGCCTACAGGGAAGCCCAGTTAATACCACTATTATTCAAATTTACGTACCAACCACTAAAGCCAGTGAGGATGAAATAGAAGAATCCTACCAACTTCTTCAATTTGAAAGTGATCAAACATGCAATCAAAATGTATTAATCATTACTGGTGATTGAAGTGCAAAGCTTGGAAGCAAAGAGGGAAGGGTCAGTAGTTGGAAAATATCTGTGGCCTTGGTGATAGAAATGATGTTGGAGATCGCATGATAGAATTCTGCAAAACCAATGATTTGTTCATTTCAAATACTTTCTTTAGACAAAATAAGAGACGATTATACACATGGACCTCACCAGATGGAATACACAGAAATCAAATTGATTACATCTGTGGAAAGAGGCGGTGGAAAAACACCGTATCATCAGCCAAAACAAGGCAGGGGCAGACTGTGGAACAGACCATCAATTCCTCATATGCAAATTCAAACTGATGCTGAAGAAAGTGAAAAGATCATCTGAAGAACAGATTTGATACGTTAGACACTAAAGACTGGAGACCAGAAGAGTTGTGGGATGACATCAAGAAGGTCATACAGGAAGAAAGCAAAAAATGATTGAGAAGACAAGAGAGAAGGAAAAGATCAAAATGGATGTCAGAAGAGACACTGAAACTTGTTCTCCAGTGTAGAGATGCTAAAGCAAATGGAAAAAAATTAGGAGGTACAAGAGTTAAACAGAAAATTTCAAAGGTCCGCTCGGGAAGATAAAGTCAAATATTATAACGAAATGTACAAATGTCTGGGCTACACTAGAGACCTGTTTATTTTCATACATACTAAAGCTTGAGAGTTATCCTGGTGTGGCAATGTAGGATAAACTCTGCAAAGTTAGCGATTCGAATCCACTAGCCACGGAAACCCTCTGTACATAGTCCCTATGAGTTGTCACCAACTCAGTGGCATTTAACAACAAAACTTTAAAAGCCAGTATAAACTTTTTAACCGTTCTATGATGTGACTAGGTATATCAGTAGTTATTGTTAAGTGCTGTTGAGTTGGACTCAACTCATAATGACCCTGTATAAGGTTTCCAAGGAGTGCCTGGTAGTTTTCATCTGCCAGCCTTATAATTAGCAGTCCCGTGCTTATCTTACAGCACCACATGAGCCTGAAATCCTAGATTTGACAAGAAGTTTTATGGGAGCACCTTGATAGTCAGTATAGTTGTGCACATTTAATTGATCATTTAACTAGTTAAATGATTAATGAAATTGTTGTATAAGAAGATGGTCCCCAAACGCTGCCAATTAAATAATATAGAAGGCTGATTATCTCTACAGTGCAGAGGTGAGTGGTCCAAGGCTTGCAGAGTGATTGCATTTCATAAAGTCATCCAGGGGCCAAGAGATGTCTCATGTGACTTCCTTCTCTCTGGTCAAAGCAACTTCTCTGCTGCTACTGTGTGTCATTGAGTCTGTTCCAACTCATTTAAATGCTATAATAGTGTTTTTGAGGCTGTAAATCTTTACGGGAGCAGAAGGTCTCATATTTTTCCCAAGAGCACCTGGTAGATTTGAACTGCTGACATTGAGATTAGTAGTCCATGCATAACCCACTATGCTACCAGGGCTGCACTCTGTTGTTAAGTGCTATTAAGGTGCTCCCGACCCTGTATAGGGTCTCCAAGGAGCTGTTGGTGGGTTTGAACCTGATGACCTTACGGTTCATAGTCCAGTGCTGATCCTACAGCACCACAGTAGGAGTCTAGGGCTCCTCTCTATAGGTGTTGCCATTTCTTAATCAGCAAGGAGAGAAAGACTTCCCAAGGTAGGTAGCTTTCTCTTGAAGGAGATGACATGGAAGTGGTGTGTATCACCTCAGATCATGTCTCTTTGGTTTACATTTAGTCACATGCTCACATCTAGGTGTGAGTCAGGTGATAGTCTCTCTTGGGTAGCTGCAGATGAGCGTCAGAATCCCCTGCTCCCTGGTGCTCAGGGATGGGTAGATCCAGGACTTGGAGAGGTAGAGAGAGAGAGGTGGAATCTTTGTACTCAGCAAAGTAGGTACACTATGTCCTGTTCTTCTATTGGGATTTCTAAACTCATATAACATGTGGAACCATGAATATATTTACAGTTGCTGAAGCAGACCAGATTTTAAGCAACACATACCTATGTTTGTATGATGATGCCTAACACAGAGCTAGCATTCACTAAATAACCGCAGGAGTAGGGCATCAGAAGGAAGAAGTAATTTATTTGCTACTTGTAGTAGTACAAATATATTAACTTTTACTTTCTATTCATGCTAGGTTTTATTGGTTGATATGTTTATAATTGCCTTATTTTGTTTATTTATTCTTAGTTACTAAAATATTTTCCTGATTTAGATAAACTACGAATTACAAGAAGCCAATTATCACATTTAGTGGTAGTGGTGATGTGTCATGGAATAGGTTCCAACTCATAGCGACCCTGTATTAGGTTTCTGAGGCCGTAAATCTTTATGGGAACAGAAAGCCTCATCTTTCTCCTGAGGAGTGACTGTTAGATTTGAACTGTTGACCTTACGGTTTGATTACACTTAGTTGCCCTTCATCTTCCTGTTCTTTCCAAATCTCAGCTACAGAACAGTATGGCCTAATTCTTTAATTCTTTGACTAGGTTTTTTTTTTTTTTTTTTTTTTTTTCCTTGATGTACAAAAAAACAATCAAGAATATATTAATCATTTGAACAACCAAAGGGCAGATTCTGCAAGCCTGCCTCCTGGCTGCAAGCACACAATCTTCCTCTTTCAATGAATCTAGAGCCCTGAGCTGCTCTATTTCTCCATGTCCTCATTACAGAGAGGATTTTTAGAGAGGACAGATTGGAACTTAATGATCAGGAGTGACTCTCCTCAGGGAAGGGAGTGGGTTGCAAAGGCTAACTACTAAAATTTTATGTACAGCACATAATGTTGGGAATTTCATTTCAGAAATCTGCCTAGCATAGACACAGGATGAATGGATATGGGAAGAAAAGTGGATGTGTGTGTGTGTATATATATATGTATGTATGTATATATATATATAGAGAGAGAGAACTCTGATAGTGTATTGGTTACGAGTCATGCTGCTAATCTCAAGGTTAGCAGTTTGAAACTATCAGCAGTTCTGCAGAAGAAACAGGAAGCTTTCTGCTCCTATAAAGACTTACAGCCTCAGAAATCCTGTACAGGGTCGCTATGAGTCGGAACCGACTCCACGGCATATAACCACCACCACTAATCTATATATGTATGTGTGTATATATATATGTTGTTACATACTGTTGAGCTGGTTCTGATCCATAGTAACCCCTGTGTGGGATTACTGAGAAGTGACTGGTGGAATTGAACTGACAACCTTGCAGTGCAGCTGACTTTTCAGTCCAGTGCATTATTCTGCAGTGCTGGAGATCTATATATATATATATATATATATATATATATGTTTATATATAATATTTAAGAGCTTGAAAGAGGATATCTGTACACGGGTAACCACAGGGAGGAAATGGGATAACTATTGTTGCCAGGAGGGGATTGCAGTCAGTGAGGTGAAACAAAGTGCTGATTTTTTTTAATGCAAATTTGATGATCTCATCTGTAAACCTTCACATGATTCACAATAAAAAAAGTTTTTTTTTCAATTAAAGAAAAAAACTTGTCTGTTAAAATAATTAACAAATTATTTTTTAACAGGCAATAATAGGGAGTCCAAGGAAACTTCAGAGAGAATCCAGAAAATCAGGAAACAAGGATACTGATTCTGAATACTTACCATCCAACACCTCTGACGATGATGCTGACCCTTATTATTATTACTATAAGCCCAGAAAAACTCGATGTAAGTTGAGGAAAAAGCCTGTTTCTGCCGCAAAAATAGGAAATAGTCAACCCAACATCAATCCCAACTCAGAAGGACCCTGTCCTACTGCCAGTGACTCTGGAATTACTGATGTCACCATGTCTACCAGTACATTGGTCTCTGAAGCAAAGCAAGAACCTAATGCAGAGCACCATGCTGAGTCTCTAGAGCTAACTGGCGGGGATGTGCAACATTGTAATAGCTTGAGTCCCTCTAACTCCTCTAATTATCGCTTTGAGTGCATCTGTGGTGAACTTGGCCGGATAGACCATAAGGCTCGTGTGCAGTGTCTGAAGTGCCAACTGTGGCAACATGCAAAATGTGTGAATTATGAAGAGAAGGATCTGAAGATTAAGCCTTTTTACTGTCCCCACTGCCTTGTTGCAATGGAGCCAGTATCAACCCGAGCAACTCTGATCATTTCCCCAAGTTCCATCTGCCATCAGTGGGTGGATGAGATCAACAGGCATGTGAGGTCTTCATCGCTGAGAGTCTTGGTAAGATGCTATGTGCTCATCTTGGTAAGATGCTATTGTTAATCAGGTGCTGTCAAGACAGTGCCCACTCACAGTGACCCGATTTACTACTGAACAAAACACTGCCCAGTCTTGCCCCCTTCTCATAACCCTTAGTCTGTTTGAGCCCATTGTTGGAGCACTGTGTCAGTCCATCTCATTCATAGTCGTCATCTTTGTCACTAACCCTCCACTTTGCCAAGCATGATGTCCTTCTCCAGGGACTGGTCCCTTCTGATAACATGTCTGAAGTACATAAGATGAAATCACACTATCATCACTTCGTAGGAGTTTTCTGGCTGTACTTATTCCAAGACAGACATACTTGTTCTTCTGGCAGTCCATGTTCTTCACCAACACCATCATTCAAAGAAATCAATTCTTCTTTGGCCTTCCTTATTCTTTGCCCAGCTTTCATATGCTTATAAGGTAATTGAAAATACCCTGTCTTAGGTCAGGCATACCTAAGTTTTCAAAGTGAAACCGTCGCTTTTTAACATTTTCATGAAGTTGTTTGCAACAGATTTGCATAATGCAGTACTGCCTTTGATTTCTTAACTGCTGTTTCCATGGGAGTTAGTTGTGGGCCCAAGTAAGAAACAACTTTCAGTATCTTCTCCATATATCATGATGTTGCATGTTGATTCATTAATTTTAGGATTTTGCTTTTTTATGTTGAGGTGTAATCCATAATGAAGGCTGTAGTCTTTGATCTTCATTAGCAGGTGCTTCAAGTCCTCTTCTCTTTTAGCTACCAAGGCTTTGTTGTCTGCATATCACAGGTTGTAATTGAACCTTCCTTCAATCCTAATACTGCATTCTTCTTCCTATGATCAATCTTCTCTGATTGTTTCTTCAGGATACAGATTGAATAAATGTAGTGAAAGGACACAACCCTAATGTATACTTTTCTTGATATTAAACCATGCAGTGTTTAAAACCACTGCTTCTTGGTTCCACATGAGCACAACTAAGTGTTATAGAATTCAGTTCTTCGCAGTCTTATACATAATACGTTGTGATCCCTACATTCAGATGCCTTTGCATTGTCTATAAAACATACATAAAAATCTTTCTGGTGTAATTTGCTTTCAGCAACGATCTAGCTGATTCAGCAGTTACATTCTCTGTCCTACGTCCTTCTCTGAATCTGACTTGAATTTTTAACAGCTCATTGTTGAAGTATTGCTGTAACCTTATTTAAATTATTTTCAGCAAAATTTTGCTTGGATGTGATATTAACGATATTGTTTGATAAGTTCCTGTTGGACCGGCTTTCTTTGGAACAGGCACAAATATGAATCTATCCCAGTCAGTTAGCCAGGTCTTCCAAGTTTCTTGGCATAGATGACAGTGCTTCCAGTGTTGCATACGTGTGTTGAAACATATCAGTTGGTATTCAGTGTGTACTTGGAGCCTTGTTTTCATCAATACCACCATTGTAGACATGCTTAGACTTTCTGTCTTCAATACCGTCAGTTCTCGATCATATGGTGCTTTCTGAAATGGCTGGATGTTGACCAGTGCCTTTTGGTACAGGACTGACTATGCATTCTCTCCTTCTTGTGTTTCTTCCTGCAGTGTTGAGTATTTTGCCCATGCTGTCCAGTTGTCCATGCTCATCCTCACAATCATGGTTATATTTGAGTCTTTGGTTGCTGCCATCTCTTTGATGGTCTTCCTCTTTTTCACTAATCAAGCATGGTGTCCTTCTCCAGGGTCTAGTCCTTTCTGACAACATGTCCCAAGTATAAGAGATAAAGTCTTTGTATCCTCTATTCCAAGAAGCAGGCTGACTATACTTCTTCTAAGACAGATTTGTTTTGTTTTTCTGGTAGTCCGTGATGCTTTTAATATTTTTCTCTAATGTTGTTGCTGTTAGGTGCCATCAAGTCGGTACCAACTCATAGCGACCTTATGCACAGCAGAACCAAACACTGCCCAACTCTGGGCCACCCTCAGTACTGTTGTCATGCTTGAGTCCATCAGTGATGCCACTTGGCCAATCCATCTCGTTGGAGGTCTTTCTTTTTCTTTCCTCTTTTTTTCTGACCTTCCACCTTAACAAACATGATATCCTTCTTCAGTGACTGGTCCCTTCTGACAACATGTCTGAAGTATGAGAGACGAAGTTTGGCCATCTTGGCCTCCAAGGAGCATTCTACCTGCACTTCTTCCAAAATGGATCTATTGATTCTTTTGGCAGCCCATGGCACTTTCAGTATTCTCCAATGCCATAATTTAAATGCATAGATTCTTTCACAATCTTTCTTATTCATTCTCAACTTTCACTTGTATATGAGGCGTTTGAAAATACTATGGCTTGGTGCGCCTTAATCCTCAAACTGACATCTTTAACGATCTAAAGGTCTTTGCAACAGATTTTCCCAATTCAATAATTTAGTATTTAAACTCCAGGCTTCATTTTTCTCTTCAGTTCTTTAGCTTGAGAAATGCTGAGCGTGGTCTCCCCTTTTGATTTCCTACCTCCAGGTCTTTGCATGTTTTATTATAATGCTTCACTTTGTCTTCTTGTGCCTCCCTTTGCAATCATCTGTTCACCTCTTTTTTTGATTTTTTTTTTTTTTCATTCACTAGCTATTCAGTATTTAAGGGCACATTTCAGAGCCTCTTCTGGTATTCATTTTGGTCCTTTCTTTCCTTTTTCATGACCTTTTTTTTTTTTAAGATTTTTATTGTGGATTGAGTGAAAGTTTACAGGGATTTCATGACTTTTGTTTTCTCTATCTATGCATGATGTACTTAATATCTCACAACTTATCTAGTCTTTGGTCATCATAGTTCAATGCACGAATCTATTCTTGAGATGTGAGGCAGTCTCAGTATTATACTTTGGCTCATATGGACTTGTTTAATTTTCTGCAGCTTTCTCTTGAACTTGCATATGAGTAGTAGATGGTTTGTTCTGTAGTCGGCTCCTGGCCTTTTTTTTGACTGATGCTATTGAGTTTCTCCATTGTCTTTTTCCACAGCTATAGTTAATTTTATGTCTGTGTTTCCAGTTAGCAAGGTCCATGAATTTGTTGTTGTTGTTAGGTACCATCGAGTTGGTACCGACTCAGTGACCTTATGCATACCAGAATGAAACACTGCCTGGTCCTGGGCCAACCTCACTATTGTTTACACGCTTGAGCCCATTGATGCTGCCACTTTGGCAATCCATCTCACTGGGGGTCTTCCTGTTTTTCTCTGACCCTCCACTTTACCAAACATGATACCCTTCTCCAGTGACTGGTCCCTCCTGACAATATGTCCAAAGTATGAGAGACAATTTGGCCATCCTGGCCTCCAAGGTGCACTCTGGCTGCACTTCTTCCAACACAGATCTGTTGGTTCTTTTGGCAGTCCATGGCACTTTCAATGTTCTCCTCCAACATCGTAACTCGGTCTTCCTTATTCACTGTCCAGCTTTCACATGCATATGAGGTTATTGAAAATATCATGACCTGGGTCAGGAGCACCTTAGTCCTCACGCGGACATCTTTGCTCTTCAGTACTTTAAAAAGGTCTTGGGCAGCCACTTCTTCTGAATTCCGAGGTGTAGAAGTTAAAGTCTGCTTCAGTAGAAGTATGTGAAAACTTTAAAAGTATCCTTAATCACACGAACAAAAAATTCTTTGTGTAAACATTTACATTCTCTCACGGAATTTTATTTCTAAAGGAGCATTGTTTTATAGTAACTGCTTCTCTGTGCCAGAAAGATTGCTAAGCTCTGAAAAAAAAAATCTCTTTGTGGAGTCCTGGTGTGGTGCTGTTGGATAAGCATTGCACTGCTAACCACAGGTTCAGTGGTTCAAACCCACCAGCTGCTCCTCAGAATCCTACTTGAGTACAAAAACAACACAGACTTGTGGCGAGTTCATAATCTGATCAAGTGCTGGCATGTATTAATCACTGTTATTACTTACTAACAGTAGTATTCCTCACGCCTTTGTTCTTCCTCTTACTACACAAATATTGTTAAATCTTTTCTCTTATTTCAAGCGCTATCAGAGGCCATAAGAATAAAGTAATAAAATGGTCTTTGTTATTGAGGAGCTCTGCTCTGGGGGGGCTGGCACATTTTGAGTTGAATCTCATCTCTGTCAGTTTTGAGCCAGCCATTCTGTTTCTTATGTGTCACATGAGAATAATAGCTAGTAACCAGATTGTTCCTGAAGATCAAAGAGCACGCTTAGCACAGTATCTGAAACTAGAAGACATTCATTCAGACCATTGCGTTTTGGCACATGCTGTTTGTTTCAACAACTTGTAAGTCTTTGTTCTTGCTTATTTACCTTAGGGATCTCTTAACTGTTGTTCCAGATTCATCTCAAACTTTTAATTCTGAATTTAACTGCTCAGCCATTGAAGTCGTCATTTCACTATCACAATGATACGAGATGATGTGCTAACATTCCCTTCTGTGATAGGTCTTTTCACCTGCTTGTGCTGTTAGTCCTCCAGACTAAAATGTGTCTCTAGATGGGCATGATACGTGTTTTATAGCCTGGGGTGGTCCTTAGCAAATAGAAAGGACTCCCTAACTGAATGACTGAAAAGTCCATTGATCTTTGATGTTCCTTTCCACAATAACTATGTCTACATTGATTATTTCCCAGGTGTATCAAGGTGTGAAGAAGGATGGCTTCTTACAGCCTCACTTTTTGGCAGAACAAGATATAGTTATCATTACCTATGATGTCCTTCGTTCGGAACTAAACTATGTAGATATCCCACACAGCAACAGTGAGGATGGGCGTCGCCTACGGAACCAGAAGCGCTATATGGCCATCCCCAGCCCCCTAGTAGCTGTGGAGTGGTGGAGGATCTGCCTTGATGAAGCTCAGATGGTTGAATGCCCTGCTGTCAAAGTGAGAATATCTGGAAACCCTACTGAGGGAAGGAAGAAGGGGAAAGGATTAGAATAGTTAACACACAGTGTTGATACTGATCAAAAGTTGGTTCTTAAACATTCTACAGTGGTTTTTCTTTTATGCTATGAGCTATATTTAACCCTTTGAAATTATTTTTGTACTCTGTACCTACATGTAATATTGAAATAAGATGTCAGTTTATGTTTGATGAAGCTCAAAGTAAACCTTTTTTACTTTCGTAAGTGTTTCTGCTAACTGAAAAGCTGTACAGGAAGATCTGATAACCTTGGGCCCAAGATGACTTAGATCAAATAGTGTCTACTTTAGAGACTAGAAGTTTGATTCAGGCTTCATTTGTCATATGTCTTTATTCTGTGCCCTTTGACCAGAGAGTTCACATACGAGGATGCAGTGGTCTAGGGACATATCAGTCATTTTCAGAGCTTTGCAGTCTACACTGCCTCGAACTAACCCTCCTCTTCAGGGGGACATGGCAGCCTCCAGCTACTGAGAACCACTGTACTTTACTAGAAACCGACACTATACAGTGCGTGTGATCACTGTTAAATAGGAGTAGGCACTTTGGACCTAAAGCCTACTTAAGATTTTCTTAAGCAAATGTGCATTGTTCCTGTGTCTCTCTCCTCCTATTCTTCACCCCCTAATTTCCCTCTCCTTTCATCAGGCTGCAGAAATGGCACAGCGCTTGAGTGGGATTAATCGTTGGTGCATCAGTGGCACTCCAGTGCAGAGGGGATTGGAAGGTAATTTATGGCTTCCTCCCATATTGCATATGTTTGAAAAAGCTTTTTCTGAGTAAAATATTGCTGTAGTTCTTATTTAAGTGATTTATGCTTAGACTTGTATTTATAATTAGCTCCTAATAGCTTCAAGCTTTTATCTTTTTAAAGGAAAACCAAGTGGTTTTATGTTAGCATATGGAGACAGATTAATAGTGCATACTCCAGTTGTTCAACGGAGCAATTGTGTCTGCCTAAACAGTTTAGATGGAGGTCTGAACTAAAGCCAGAGTTGTAAAGTAGTAGGTTAAAAAGAGAGAACTCATAGTGAAGGAAGGAAGGCAAGGAGGAAAAGAAAAATCACTTCAGTTAACTGCTCCATACAACTAGACACCACAATTTTCATTAACTCAGTTCTAAAAATAGTACAACTATAATTTTGCTAATTATAAAAGTTATCAAATATTAATAACCCTAGAATACTATATTATATTCTTGTGCCATTGTCCCTTCAGCCATTCCACTTTTCAGACATCTGGATTGTTTCTGATACTTCCCTTCTCTCATTATAACTGGTGCATCTGCATTACTCCCACACATACCACTTTTTCCATAGTATAAACATTATATTTTTAAAGACTTTTACGTTGTGAATATTTAGAAGTTCAAGGAAATGTTTTACATAATAAAACCAGAAAAAAAACTGTTATTAACTTGTAGTTATAAAATCGAAATATGAATCCTGTGATAATTTCTTATTTGCAAAACTTAAATCTTCCTGAAACTTCAAGTTTTCATCTATTGTACTTGCGGTCAGGATAGCCTGTCATTCTGCTAAAATAAAGATATCAACATCTATTGTTGTGACCCCATAACAATATATTTTTTTTTTTTAGAATCATTTTTAGGGAGAAAGTTTTATAAATATATAAAATGCATACTTAAATGTTTGTGTAACTATAATAAGTTACATCTTGTTGTTGTTAAGTGCTATTGAGTCAGTTACGATGTACAGGGTTTATGAGAGGAGCAGCTGATAGATTTGAACCTCTGACCTTGCAGTTAACACTTATCCTCTAGTGCTACACCAGGACTCCAATTTATATTGGGTTATGTGTTTAAAAGACATTGTCAGACTCGTTAAAAGGCCAAATTTAATGGTGTGCTTTTAGATTTGGAAACTGTCAAAAATTTTAGATATTTAAGTATACACAGATAAAAAGGACTATTGGAGTCCCAATTTTTTAATTGTTTGATGAAAGAATGTAAACAATAATTGCTCAGGTTGCTACAAAGATTTTTTGGAGGATGTGAACAACACTGATAGTTGTTTTGAAAAACTTGTTAACATTCAACATACTCTTTCTTGCGTAATTAAAAATAAAACAACTGTATTGTGGTATAAATGGCAGTAAAACTATAAATTGTATTCGAAGTGTGAAACTATTAACATAGTAAAGATAATCACCTCCAAAGGTTTCCAAAAAATGCTTCGACTCATCTAATAAAGGACTTTCCCAAACCTCTTAGGAATTGAGGTCTGTTTTCCTCTTTGCTTCCATTACTCTTAAATGTCTTTACACTATACTTTTACAATGTACCTGGGGGGGTTTTTTGTTTCTAGTTGTTGCAGGGAAATGTTGCCTAATTGTATTTGGAAGTGGAGGTCTCATGTTTTCCTTTTGTCCTAGAGCATGGTTTCTTAGCCTTAACCCTATTGACAATAGGACCCATAATTTTTTGTTAGGAGGGGTTGTCCTTTGAGTTGTAGAATGTTTGGTATCATCTTTGGTGCTACTCTCTAGGTGCTAGTTGTGACAACTAAAGCTGTCTCTTGACATTTCCAAATAGCTCATAAGAGGCAAACCATACCTCTTCAGTCCCACCGTGATTGAGAAACCTCCGTGCTTGACTTTAAAAGATGTAAGTCAGATTTGATGATTTCTTAATTGGCAACAACCCAGAGATCTTGGTTGAGGTGCAGTTTGCATACATATTAGGTAAGGAAATGAAACTAGAGTGTTTTCATTCTGTAATTTGCCACTGTTTTAGTATGTTTCTTCAGGCAGGCTGAAGTAACTTCAATCCACTTGGAAAATCAAGTAAGCAAGAGCCTTGTTCAGTGTCCCATTTCACTTGTCATTATTCCTTGTCTATATGATGTACTGGTGTGGCGCTGTGGGCTAATGGGCTGGACTGAAAAGTTGGTTCAAGATACCTTTGACAAACAAGTATAAAATTATAAACATAAAATTCCAACTATACCAGGTTTGGTAAAAAGATCTCTGGTTCTATGAGATATAACCTAGATGCAGAAGTAGAAAATATACGTATCATATGACAGGAGGAGACTGAACTGGAACCAATATGGCTGGAGTGTAGAGAGCAAGGGAAACTATGTGCTTTGAGAGACTGAATATATGGATGAAGATGGGACCATGGGAGAACTTGGTGGTGGTGGTGGTTATGTGCCATAGAGTCAGTTCCAACTCATAGAGACCCTGCATAGAGTTTCCGAGGCTATAAATCTTTACAGGAGCAGAAAGCCTCATCTTTCTCCTACAGCACGGCTGGGAGTTTCGAACTGCTGACTTTGAGGTTAGCAGCTTGACTTGTAACCTATATACTACCAGAGCTCCATGTAGATGACGATAAAGATTTATTTTTCCCTGTTGAGAACAGTGGAAGCTATTGAAACAAATTGGACATGGGGGTAGGAGTGGGATCTCCAAACTAGGTGTGTGTTTCAAAAGATCACTTTAGTTGCAGTGTGGCAAATGCCTTAGAAGGGCAGCCTAGTGGATGTTAGGCTGTCGGTTGGTTACTTCGTAAGTAATTGGCAAGTGATGCAAGAGTAATGTGGTGGTATTGGTGGTAGTGTGCTGTGGAGTCAGTAGACAGGTGGATTGACTTGAGGATATCAATAGTTCTGGTATGGCACTGTGAATTAATGCGCCAGACGGCAGAGCCATTTGAACTACAAGGTCGGTGGTTCAAGCTCACCAGGTGCTCCTTAGAAACCCTATATAGTGTCACTATGGGTCAGAACTGACTCGACGACACTTAACAACAACAACAACACCTAGGTGGTAATGCTCTAGTTCTTTCAGATATTACCTTCTTCCCAGGCACTGTCAGAATAACTTAATTCAACCTAAATATTTGTTAGTTATCTTTAGAGTAAATATTGTAAGTATCATCATGGTTGTTGTTGTTGTTAGGTGCCATCAAGTCAGTAATGACTCATAGCGACCCTATGCACAGCAGAATGATACTGGGCCAGCCTCATTACTGTTGCCACACTTGGGTCCATCAATGCTGCCACTTGGCCAGTCCATCTCGTTGGGGGTCTACCTCTTTTTCTCTGACCCTCCACCTTAACCACCTTACCAAATATAATATCCTTTTCCAGTGACTGGTGCTTCCTGACGATATGTCCGAAGTATGAGAGGCGAAGTTTGGCCATCCTGGAGCACTCTGGCTGTACTTCTTCCCAAACGGATCTGTTGGTTCTTTTGGTAGCCCGTGGCACTTTTAGTATTCTCCAACACCATAACTTGAAAGCATCAATTCTTCCTATGGTCTTCCTTATTCACTGTGCAGCTTTCACATGCATATGAGGTTATTGAAAATACCATGTCTTGGGTCAGGCGCACCTTCGTCCTCAAGCTGACATCTTTGCTCTTCAACACTTTAAAAAGGTCTTGTGCAGCAGATTTACCTAATGCAATACGTCATTTGATTTCTTGACTGCTGCTTCCATGAGTGTTGATAGTTGATCCAAGAAGAATGAAGTCCTTGACAACTTTAGTCTTTTCTCCATTGATAAGAATGTTGTTTATTGGTCCAGTGGTAAGGATTTTTGTTTTCTTCACATTGAGATGTAATTCATACCGAAGGCTGTGCTCTTGGATCTTCCATCAGTAAATGTTTTAAGTCCTCTTCACTTTCAGCAAGCAAGGTTGTATCATCTGCATAGCGCAGGTTGTTAATGAGTCTTCCTCCAGTCCTGAATGCCATGTTTTTCTTCATAGAACCCAGCTTCTCAGATGATTTGCTCAGCATACAGGTTGAATAAGTATGGTGAAAGAATACAACCTTGTCATACACCTTTCTTACTTTTAAACCATTCAGTGTTCCCATGTTCTGTTGGAACAACTGCCTCTTGGTCCAGGTACAGATTCCTCATGAGCACAATTAAGTGTTCTGGAATACTCATACTTCGCAGTGTTGTCCATGGTTAAAAACATTTGGCTGCTACCTGAAATGTCATTAGTTCAACACCACAGTTGCTCTGCAGGAGAAAGATGTGACAGTCTGCTTTTGTATAGAGTTACATCCTCGGAAACTTCATGAGGCAGTTCTACTCTGTCTTAAACACCATTGGCATTGACTCAGCAGCAGTGGGTCAGTGGATGGAGATCATAGCAGATTTGTCCTTTTTGAGAAATGGCTGTTCTGAGAATGTGGTTTTTGTTTTCTTTTTTCAGATCTTTTTGGGTTAGTGGTCTTTCTTGGTGTTGAACCTTACTGTGTCAGACACTGGTGGATCCGACTTCTCTACCGCCCTTACTGCAAGAAGACTCCTCAGCCCCTCTACAGCTTTATTGCCAAGATCTTATGGAGGTCTGCAAAGAAGGATGTCATTGACCAAGTCAGTAGGCTAAGTTTTATTTACTAAGGATAATAAAAGGCACAAAGCAACAGGGTTGGAGTGAAAAGTTACATTTTCAGGTGCCATCATATATGTTTGTCCTCTCTGCAGATCCAGATACCTCCTCAGACAGAAGAAACTCACTGGCTGCACTTTTCTCCAGTGGAAAGGCATTTCTATCACCGCCAGCACGAGGTGTGCTGCCAGGACGCAGTGGCAAAGCTCAGGAAAATTTCCGACTGGGCCCTGAAGCTCAGCAGCCTGGACAGAAGGACGGTTACCTCCATCCTGTACCCACTGCTGAGGCTCCGGCAGGCCTGCTGCCACCCACAGGCGGTCCGGGGGGAGTTCTTGCCACTGCAAAAAAGGTTTTAGTGTCAATTTCTTTATAGTGTTACTAGTAATAAAGTAATCTTAGATAGTGTTTAAGTCATCAACTTCCTGGCCAATCAAAAAGACAAGTGTTGTTCCCAAATCCGTAATACCGAAGTGTAATTGCAGCTGGGCTGTCTGTAGATTTGAATCATATTGCCATCTGGTTAGTAAATAGAATAATTTGTTGACTATATATCTAAGGATCTGAGTTATAGTTTGGGTATGTACTTAACCTTTCTATTCATATAAAACTACAGGTTTCTAATGAGAAAACAAATCATATATATACATGAACTTTGGAAAACTTAAATTTTGTTTGTTAAGTACCGTCAAGTCAGTTCTGACTCATAGCGACCCTGTATAGGGTTTCCGAGGAGGAGCTGGTGGGTTTGAACAGCTGACCTTGTGGTTCGCAGTAGATTGACTTCAAAAAGTTCATGAAAAAATAGTATTTTATCATAAGCTTTTTGAAGCCCCATGATGTAGGTTACTAGATTTCATTTTTTGAACACTTTAAGCAAAGAAAAATACTGAAAATGTTCTTATGAGCATAAGTGAATGGCATTTGACTAAGATCTAAGATTTCCTTGAATGACGTAGTTGCTATGACTAACCATCTTCTCTCAGAAGTACAGGAGTTTTGTTTGGAGGATTGCTTAATTATATAGCTCAATATGCTTATTGCACTTAATAGATCGGGACATTTTAATTTGTTGATGTGGCACCAGATGGGCAGTTGACAGTTAATCGTGTAGTCTGAAGAGTATTTGGGTTTACTTTACTTTTCTATTTCCCTCATTAAACTTTTTACAGCATTGCTTCCCTAAGCACTTAAAAATATTAAAGTCTTTTCTGCCTAATAGGAAATGAAGTATTTGTTTTCAAATAAAAGGTGAGAGTCATAGAGATAAACTCCAGTCCTAAAATTTTTATTGTTGTTGTGAAGTGCCGTTGAGTTGGTTCCAACCCATAGCAACCCTGTATAGGGTTTCCAAAGAGCAGCTGGTGAACTTGAACTGCCAACCTTGCAGTTCAAACGGCTTTGCAGTCTGGCGTATTAACCCACAGCGCCACACCAGTAGTTCTTAACTTATTATGTATTGAGTTACAACAAAATGACTTACAACTGACAGTGTTTTGTTTTGTTTTTTTGTACATCTTGTCGTTAGTAATATGTAAACAAGCAGAGTTACAGCCTGTAATTTGTTCATGTTATCATTCTCAGATGTCATGTTTCTGACCCCCAAAGACAAATAAGATTGTATGATTTAGAAAGACACTAATAATGAAATGCAATGATACTGTAAACTTTAAAAAAAAAAAAAAAGAAGAAACATTAGACTATGTCAGAACTGACTTTGCAATAGACTTGTCCTTAGAATGGAACGCTGATATCAGTCAGTACTGCTTGTGGTCACTGCAATATATAATGATAGTATGTGCACAGTAAATGTTAGCTATTATGTGCCACTCACTGGGGTAAGTGCTTTGTATGCACTAGCTCATTTAATCCTAAAAAAAAACTTTCATGTAGTTATTGTGTGCACTTACAGTTGTAAAAGCTAAGGCTTGACAAGGTTACTTCATTTGTTCAGGGTAGAGCCTGAACTCAAATCCTTGCGTCTGTGGCCCCTCAATGTGGTATGTACTTTTGCTGGAAGTGTCAGTTGACCAGACCTTGAAGGAGCGTCAGTTTTCACAGATTGAAAAATCTAGTCTCAAAAGTTTAAATAAGCTGTAATGCTGAAATTCAAATGCTGTGTTAATTCTAACTGCCCATACAGTTTCTAAGATACCATGTTATACTTGAGGAAGATTTTCCTGATTTCATTCTACAGTGTTGACTGAAGTGGCAAAGGCTTTAGTAATGATGGGATCAGATAGGTGATTGCTTGCTGGAAGAACCCGAGGTAATAACAAATTGGATGATGGTTGTAAAAGCGGAGGTGACGAGCCAAGTGCTGAAGCTCTCATGAAGACTGTCAAAGTCCCATATGTGATGCAGCACTCCTACTGAAGCGGCACTCAGGGTGTTCTTTCTCGTTCTGAACCATCTGCCTCTTCTTTTAGCACCATGACAATGGAAGAGCTGCTGACATCTCTGCAGAAGAAGTGTGCAACTGAGTGTGAAGAAGCACATCGGCAACTAGTTTGTGCCCTCAACGGGTTAGCAGGCATCCACATCATTAAAGGTAGAAGGTGATTGCTTTCTTATCTCTGATTCTTCTCAACACTTTCTAAAAAAGGTTCATTATAGTAGGAATCAAAAATCTCCCCATAAGGTGCTCTCAGACACTACTGATCGCAGTTGACTCTGAGATACTACTGATCGCAATTTCTGTTGGTTCAGTTTCATGGACGGCAGTTACTCAGAACCTTTCTGAAACCTGACGTGCTCCATACACTTTGCACAAATACTGCCACTTGTTGAACTTTTTCCTAGGGATACAAGGATATAAAGGGCTTTATAGTTGTTAAGTTATAAGCAGAAAGCTTTCTAAATATCTAGATACAGAAGAATGTTTCAATTTCTATACACTGAAAAGTCTAGAAAAAGCAAACTAATATTTGGTCATTGGTAGCAGATCGGTGGTTGCCTGGGGTTGGTGGCATGGGAGGCAGGAGAGTGGAATAGGGGATTAAAAAGGAGCTGAGGGATCTTTGACAGGTGCTGGATATATTCCTGATCTCGATTGTGTCATGGGTGCGTACCTGTGTCAAAACTGATCAAATTATATACTTTAAATATTTTCAGTTTATTTGAGCCATATTAGAACTTGAAAAAAAAAAAAGTTGTGAGGCTGTACAGAATTATCTTACTTGTGCTTTAATGAAGAATACTGTGTGTGGGTGGGTTGTCATTGAGAAAGTGGAATCCACCTGAAATTGGATAACTCATGCCGTTTGCTTGTGATAAACTTATGAATGCTTTTTCTTTTTTTCCTTAATATGTTTTCATTATCACCAGTATGGTATTTACAATAATAAGTGAACAAACTTATTTAACAACTATGTAAGTGAGTATAAATGTCCTCTCTCAAGCAAAATCTAACTAGAAGCAGTTCTTATTAATAGCGCAAAAAGTCGGCAGTAAAGTCATTTGCCTAAGAAACACTATGAACTAAAAAAGAGTTATGCCTAATGAAATGAGTGGTGTGGCAATGTAGGATAAGCACTTGATTGCTAAGCATGAGGTCGGTGGTTCAAACCCACCAGCTGCTCATTGTAAACCCTGTATAGGGTCGCTATGAGTTAGAACCAACTTGATGGCACTTATCAACAAAAACAAAAACTTCATGGGTTTCTGCTAGCTATTTTTTCATGAGATCGTTTACATTGGGTTTAAACTTTGGACCTTGGGGTTAGAAATCCAGTGCTAAAGCAGGACTTCCTCAAAGTATTGTTCCTAATTTGAACAGAAAGTGGAAGTACACAGAAAATTAGATTGTTGTTAAGTGCCCTTGAGTCAGTTCTGACTCATAGTGACCTTGGATGGGGCTTCCAAAGAGCAGCTGGTAGGTTTGAACCTCCAACCTTGTGGTTAGCAGTTAAACGCTTATCCTAATGTACCACACCAGAAGTTTTTGAAAATGACATCAAAACATGTAAATGAAAAATAATGCTATTGATTATTTGGCATTCTGAAGTGACCTCAGATTCTTGCCACTTTGTTGTTGTCAGGTGCCATTGAGTCGGAACCGACTCATAGCGACCCCATGCACAGCAGAACGAAACAATGTCCGATCCTGGGCCAACCTCAATACCGCCGCCACACTTGAGTCCATCAGTGCTGCCACCTGGCAGATCCATCTCGTTGGGGGTCTTGCCACTTTATGTACTCACAATTCAGATTTTATTATCAGCAATTAATAAGAGAAGACAAGGACATCTTGCTGTATTTTCCTGATAAACTTGTCAAATATGGTTCATGAAATTTTTGTGAGCAAATCTTCTCTAGAATATTTTATAGAAAGTATTCAAATTGGTGTTTTCAAGTTTGCATTTTCTCTAATAATTCTTAATCATCTCTTTCATCTTAAGAGCTGTCTTCATGGCCAAGTACGGCCTATGGCTGGACTGCCGTTTCAGATGGTTATTTCAGTCCGTAATGAAAGACTGAACAAAGTGATTCTTGAGCAGAAAATTATAAAAACATGACATTAGGATTTCCTTTATATCAGGGGCTAATTAGAGAAAAACTGGGAATTGGTGTCTATCTAATATCTATTTCTCATGGTCACAAATTAATTAAGGGGAGTAATCACAATAGAACACTAGAGAGGACTTTTCTTAGTTACTTAGTGTTGTTGTTATCAGAAATACCACAAGTTTAGATGGCTTTAAGAGACAGAAATTCATTCTCTTACACTTAGACGGTTAGACATCTGAATTCATAGTACCTCATTTCTTGGCGATCTCTATGTGCTTTAGCATCATTCTTAACTCTTGCCAATATGGCACATGTACACAATTCCTTACTCCATGTATAATCTAAATAAAAGCAATTATACCTACTTGCACCTATCATGATATATATAACACATACAAAACACACTAACCCTATCATGTTTTTCCCAAATTCTAAGTCCATGTTCCAACCTGGGCCAAAATTCCTCTTATCATAAATCTAGAATACAAGTTGTCTGCTTCCAAATCCAATAGTGGAACAGGTAAAAAGGTAGGCATTTCTATTACAAATGGGAGCAATTAGAGGGAAAGAGGATACCAAAGCAAGGTAGTAAAAATCCAGTAGAGCAATTTATATTAGCTGTCAAGGCTCGAAAACAATCCTCTGTTCTCTGAGACCATCTCAGCAGTGGTCCTATCCTCCAGACGTTAGCTATTGGCCATGGACTCTGGAGTTTGGGTAGAGGCCCCTCAACCCTGGGCTTCAGCGCTGCCTTTCAGGCTTACTAGAAAGGCAGCTCTACTCCCTCGGCTTTAGGCAGCCCCATCCTCCTAATCCATCTGAGTAGTGAGTCCACCCCCTTAACTCCAGCAGGCCCTATTCCATCCCCTCTGTTTTGGGCAAAGGCCCAAGCTTAGAAGCAGCCCCACACTCTGGAACCAAGTTGGTATAGATCCAACTCTTAGAAATTTAAAACACTGTGAACCCCCCAATTTCAGAAATTTCAGAGATCATGGCTGTATCCTTTGAGAGCCCAGAGGTCATGTCCCTATCTTTTGAAACTGAGGCAGCTCAGTCCCTTGCTCTTCAGTCTCTAGAATAGGTCAGCTTTTGTGGAGCAAGTGCTGATAAATACCCAGAGGGAAGCCTCTGGCATGAAGATGCTCAGCTGTGTTCATCTGTGGCTTGGCGTATGGGCCATCTTTAGTCGGCTTTCTTGTGCTGCTGCTGCTGCTGCTGTCATTTCTCTGCCACGATTTCTCACCATCTGTGCCATCTCTGATGTTAAAATTCTCCTACTTCCTTCTGAGCCTTCATCAGAATTGTCTTTGGCATCTGTAATTCCAACAGTTTCTTTCTAGGTAATTTCAGCCTTTACTGTTAGGCAGTCTAGTATTCTTCTAGCTACTATTTATTATCCATTCCAATCGCTACTGTATTTTAAGTATCTGCTAGAGAGACACCCCACTTCTGGTATCAGATTCTGCCTTAGTTATCATCCACAAGTGGATGGCTGTAACAAACAGAAACTTATTCTTTCACAGTTGGGAAGACTAGAATTCAGAGTCCTTGTCTTCTTTCAGCATCTTAATGTCAATCTTTCTGTAGATTTAGAAACTTCACAGAGCAGGGACCACGGGTGAGAAGGATGCATTCAACTCCCTGCTTTTCTTTCTTGGTGTCAGTAGGTCCCTGTCTCTCTGCTCACTTCTCTCTCCTTTTATATCTCAAAAGAGTTTGATACAGATGATCCTGTAGATTGGATCTGGCCTCATTAACAGCATACAAGTGAAGATTTGCAACACATAGGATAATTACATCGGATACGAACTGATCACATTAGCTCACATCCTGGAATTGATTGCACCATATTAGACTTCATCATGGAGATGATAACTACACCTTAACTGCTGAACCACTGAGAATCCTGACCTAGCCAAATTGACACAAAACTTAACTATCACATGACTTGACCACCATTAGTGAAAAATATCTCTGCTTAACATAGGTCTATCTGAAATATATAAAAGATAGTGTACTGTTTAAAGTATTTTGTTGTCGTCGTATGCTGTAGAGTTGGTTCCAACTCATAGCAACATTGTATGGGTTTCTGAGGCTTGTAGTTTTTGTGTGTGTTGTCGTTTTAATGAGAGTGTGAAGCCTTCTTTCTCCTGTGGAGTGGCAGTGGATTTCAAATGCTGACCTTGCAGTTTCCAGCCCAACTCATAATCCACTACACCACCAAGACTTCATAAAATATTTTAGAACCATTAAAATTTAGCTTCATATCTGAAAATTGATCATTTTTCTGTATTTTATTCACTTTTACATATGCCTTCTATTTCATACTCAACTGAAATTTTAAAAGATTTAGTTGGTTTCTGAAAATGATAGCTGCCAAATGACAGTTAATGAATTTTCCCTAGATCTTTTGGCTTCATAGCAAATATTTATATATTTTTATTATGCTATATGCTTCTTTATAAAGTAGACATTTATAAATCTCATGATAGAAACTCACAATAAAGTTTTCTAAACTGTAGTGTTATTGTTGTTATGTGCCCTCAAGTCAGTTTTGACCCATAATGAACCTGTATTGGGTTTCCAAGGAGTGGCTGTTGGGCTTTGAACCACTGACCTGCTGTTGACTGACCAGTGCTTTCCTACAGCACCACATCAGGACTCCAGAATGGAGTAATATATTACGTATAGATTGTCACAGTAATGAAAATTACAGTTTTCCCTCTTAAGTTTAAAATTCTTTATCTCCTGTGTTGTTATAACTCAGGAGTTTTGAAGGGAATGAATTTTCTCCCTTTGCCTTTTTTACCGCCTTTTCAGATTTACTGTCACGGTTTTCCTCCTGTGAACTTATCCACAATGTTGGGGAATTAGACCAAAGGTTATTCTTCCTTCATTTCCAAAGGCTGTAGGTCCTTGCAGAGTCAGAGGGTCCCTATGATATTTGCAGTTCTGGTTTACCCTCCAAATATCACTGATTATTTTAAGACAAATCCTTGCCAGAAAGATCCAAAATAAAGGATCTGTCTTTTCCTGGCATAA